GAAGCACAATGAAATAAAACTCCCAATGTTCAGAGGGAATAAAGACATTGAACATTCTACAGCCTGGTTCCACCAGCTGTCCAGTCCACCAGTATGCCAGGCTGTATTCTCAAGTCTGTCTCCCTTCCCAAACAATGAAGTCCTTCTAAGTGTTTCTTGTTTAATGGTAGTACATCCTGTATGTGGAGGGATTTTCTGCAATTTCTAGTATGAATCAGGGGGCAGACAACATGGGTGTAGGACTGGCCTAGAGTACACTGTCGTGCTATGGAGGCCACAGCATTCTCAACATCTGATCCAACCTTCTTTACATCCACGATCTATTCCCTCCACTGGAAGGCCTCAGTGTTGTATAGTAATTTCCTCCAAATTGAAACATTTCTTCTTGTAGACCACAGGAGACTAATGAGACCAGGGAAGTAAAGCAAACCTGGGCAGAGCTAAACTGTGTAAGATCCTCAGTCCTGCCCCACCCCTGGCCCTGTCCCCCTCAACACCCCCCACCTGCCCCGTAAAGTTCTACAAGCTAGGAAGAGAGACCGTGACCAGTGTGGGGTGCTCTTTCTAAGTAGAAGAGTGCCCTGGAAGAGCCTCTAACTGGCTAGCTGAGTTGTCTCCAGTTGAATTGGGACCTAACTTATGGAACCTCATTGATCTCTGAGGCTTAGTTCCTGTGAGTGCTGGAGTGGGGTTTTCAATGATGCAGCTGCCTTTGAGTAACCCTCACTACTATAATCACACACACACACACACACACACACACACACACACGCACGCACACACGCACACACATGTTCTGTAGGTAACCTCAGTAAACTCACTGGCTCTTTTACTCCTGTATATGTTAGCTATTCCTTATATGTGGAGGAAGTCCTATGTATATGTCAATAAAGCACTGTTGGGCCAATAGGAATCTAGATAGGTGGGTCTAGGAGTCCAGGAGGACTCTGGGAAGGAGAAACACAGAGAGTCAAGATGTAACGCCATGGGGTAGGAAGCCCGGAACTATTCTTCGGTAAGAGAAATACTTAGATTAACTATTATGGGGTAATTACTTAAGTCAGAGCTAGCCAGTAAGAAACAAACAAGGCCAACAGCTTCATAATTAATGTAGCCTCCTGTGTGTTTATTTGGGACTAATGCGACTCTAGAACCAGGCTGGTGGGAAGGCTTCTCACAAGGAAAAAGCTTCTCTTTACACTTATATTAAGATTTCTTCATGTAACCACGGCGTCACTTCTGCCTTCTTATTGAGTCCCCTCTGGAAGGGGCTGACGCACCCTGCTGTGGCAGGAGGGCTACCCAATGATGTCAAAGGGCAACTCTGAAGGGGTCTTGTATTTCCAGTGGGCCCTCCTGGAATTCTGTTTTACACCATCATGTAACATAAGCAATGGCTGCTTGGAAGAGATGGCCCAGGTCAGCCTTTCACACCAGCTGCCAGGGACCTGCAGAACTGACTAACAAGTCACACAAATTTATTAACTAAAGCAAATAAATGTTGGAAGGGAATACTATTTAGCAACCAATAACTAAAGTCTGTATCTCCCACAATTCTACTACTTTCCTAATTGCTCATTAAATTAACATGAGAGAAATTCATGAAAGTACTTCTTTAGACCAAGTCTCCCACCCTCAAAAAAGCAAGCAAATAAAACAGCACTTTCCAAGTTTCATATTGTACTTGATGACTGGATATTGCACCTGTCAGGGAAGACTCTGGAGAAAGAATCACCATATTTACAGACTGGTGTTTATTTACAAAATCTACAAAAGGCAAGGACACCAAAACTTCAAACAAGAAACTTTGAATCATCAGCAAATAAAAAGCCAGGGCCTCCTCTAGCAGGATTGGCTGTAATTGAAGGATAGCTACCCATTTCTCTCCTCTGAGCCTGGGGCACATCAAACAGACCAGACTCCTAGCACCTCTACTGTGCTTGGCATGGTACACCCGCATGCGGACTTTTGATAAAGCCAGTGTTTAGCATTTCCAGGGACATCTTCCAGTATATTACAAGTTTTTTTTCTCACATCTGCATGCTTCCTTTTGTGTCAGTGGTTTCAAAGGTTGCAGTATCCATACAAATGTTATGATGTGATATTGTATTGTTCTTTTCCTTTTCTACAAATACCAAATCTTTCATTTTGAAATCAGAAACTGTCACTGAACATTATCAGCACTGTTGTCTGTGTTTAAAACCTATCCAAAAATTTTAAGAGTACCAAAAGTTGAAGAATTCATGGAAAAAAAATATATATATATATATCAAAAAGTTTTAGTTGAGCATATAGCTAATAAAAGCATTTATGAAGGTCACCTGGAATGCCTTTACCCCAAGGAACAAACCAAAATTGTTCTTGCAAAGCATCAGTTGTGTTAAACAATTTTGATTCCTGACACACCAGGCCAGCCCTCCCCTTACTCAAGGCCCATGCAGCAGGCAGGGTAGCAGGTGCTGAGGCACAAGGGGCTGGGCACAGGCTCCTTCACCTATAAGATGCATGACACTATGGAAGAATACTTGGCCTCCCCTAAGGTTATGGGGGATGTCACCCTGACCCTATCAGAGGCCTGAGGATTAAAAGGATGCACGTAGAAGGCCCTGCCACTTAGTAAGCTCTGCATGGGTGGGTGACCAGTATTAGCAAGTAAAGCTATGTGGTGAGCAGTGCATGGCCAGTCTCAGTGCAGGGGTACCTCTCATATCTGCTCCCAGGCAGTTTCTACTAAACAGCTTCTATTTGAATTCAGGGACCACATGACCTATTCCACTGAGTCTTTAAGATGTACTTAGAATTCAATTTGTGCAATTAAATTCTGAGTTGCCTCAAAATCCCCTGCTATCTAACCTAGGCAGGCAATAAGCCTCTCCCTCCCTCTCTGTCTCTTCTCCCCCACCCCAGTGTGTGTGTGTGTGTGTGTGTGTGTGTGTGTGTGTGTGTGTGTGTGTGTGTGAATGCTTTGGATTTTCAAGAGATGGGGAGAGGCTCAGGGTCAGAGAGAGGTGACATTATTCAGGTAATCTTATCCTGCCATACAAAAAGAAGCCATAACAGAGGCATTTACTGACCAACACTCCCTGCCTTCACTGGAGACAGTTCTACTCTGCAAGTTTCTGTCTTTACACACTGAGAACAGCTTTCTTTCAACCAGGCTTCTTGGCCTGGTTGTCATAAAAACCCTAAGGCATCCACCAAGGGACCAAAAACATGAACAGCGGAGGGGGGAGGAAAAAAGGAGCTACAAACAAACCCAGAACAGAGAGAGCAGCCCAACTGTAATGATCAGAAGACAAATGTTGATTCTTAGCGCCATCTCTTCTATTTGTCCCATAAGTGCCAACCACCCTTCCAAGGTGTGGGCCTAGACAAGTCATAACAATAATTCAGCTTCAGCAAGCTCTTAGAGAATGGCTTTCAGGCACCAGACATGAATGCAAACTCTGGATTTGAATAAATGAATGAATAAATGAATGAATGACATAAAAGTAGCAGGAGGACTATGAAATGGGGAGAAGGGGTCTAATGAGAGAGAGGATAATGAGGTAAAAAAACAAGTATTTTCCCTCATATGCAGATTATATATTCAACTCTATATACATAAATATGTATACTTACATCTCTATGACATGAGAACAGAAGGGATGAAATTTAAGTCCTGAAGGAGACTAGCAGGAGATGGATGAGGAGCACAGAGGAAAAATATAACACATACACACATACATATATATGTATATACATATATACATACACATATATGTACCATAATGAAATCCGGTACTTTGTATACTAACTAAAATTCTGGATTTTAGATAGAATATTAGCATTCTAAACTTAGTTCATATACTCTTGGCGATAAAAATACAACATCAAATATGACTAACTGAAATTTAACTCTGTATCTCATTGTCATGTAATTTTGCTAGTGAGATCTGTTGAGACAGGATGTATGAAGAGTTAATGTTTTGTGACCAAATTATCCCCAGATTGAGTATAGTGTGGGGCAGCCGCCTTGTGTTTAAGAAGTTAAAAGCATGAGGATCAACTCCAGTGTTTAAGAAATGCTGGATGAGTTAGCAGTATCTGCCCATCTTCCCACGAGTCAGTTTCCAAAGTAAAGCACAAGCAGTTCTAGCAAGACAGACAGAACCCCCCCCCGCCAGCAGACTTGCTTTGCACACTCCTTGGAGGCAGCACTGTGAAACAGCATTGTTTCCAGACCAGCTCCCAGCATCCCTCAAGATCATTCTTAACTCTCTTCCTAGGATGCAGTGTATAGCAATTGGCTACATGGGGGAAGATTGGATGCTTTTTGGTTGTTTGTTAAAATGAGAGTTCAGAACACTTCTCCGAGAATATGTTATTTTACTTCATATATGTTTACAAGGTAGGTGCCCTGTGACAAGCAGCATAACAGTCTCATGTTTTGATAACAGCTGGCAAACAATCCTTTACAGTGTGCATTACATGTCACTAATGTCTCTGTCCACCAAAACAGAGCATTCACTTATCCAGCCTCCAGGACAGGGGGCAGAGCAGTTGCCTCATTATCTACTCAAGATGCAACAGCATTGAATCAGTCCCTGTCACCATCCAGCTACAGGACATGTAAGAGGACACAGAAATCCTTCCCGAAGGTAGGAGATACTGAGTCAGTGCATGAAACTGGGAGAATGGGATGTTCCTGGTGTCCTGGGGGTGGCATCTCGTGTCCTCATTTATCTGTGGATTTATGTGTCCAGGATTATTTCATTCAGAAGTTGAAGAAAGTAGTCCCCAAAAGGAATAAAGATGGGCTATAAATAGGTTAAGCCTGTGGTTGTTGCTCTAAACACACATAATGATACATAATTCTTTGCCCATGAACTACCTAGGAACGCAAAGCTTGCTAAAAAAGCTTCCTTTTCGAATTCTATTCTCTTTGCAAGCAAGAACAGTAATAAAAGTCCAAAATAATTAAGTGTGCCACTTGAGAGTCATAAAACAATTATCCTTACCAACAATAGAGGATGGTTCCCACCACAGACGTGAGCTTACTGCTTTCCTGCTTTTGCTTTGCCAGGCCAAAGTCAGCTACAATTCACAAAACAGAGTAATGGGTTACTGTCTTTCCCCAGGGTTAGCAGTCCCCAGAGCCTGAAACACTACTAAGTGACTAGCTGCCCTCTCTCTGCTTTCACAAACGTCTCCCGCTCTGTGCACCCCTAATCTCAGTTCACACATACCCTGCACCACTGTGCTGTATGTTCTGACATAACTAGACTCATCTTTTTAAGACAATCTAAAGTAAGTCTTGCTAACTAAAGAAGATGGAATTCTTTGTTGATCTTGTGAATATTCCTTTAAAGTTCTCGAATAAGAAGACTGTAGTATTTAAGTATAAAGCTGCATCAAAACTGCACCTGAGGTAGGGGGTGTCTTAGCCTGGGATCCCAGCTCAAGAAATGAGGTATGTGTTAACCAGTGAAACCCTGTCTCAAAACAACATCCAAAAAGGAGAAGACGAAAGAAGAAAAAGATCAAAACAACTAAAAGTGGATAGCTGAAGTTGTAAAATCTTATTAAGTGTGCTATGATATGCTCTTTAATTAATGGCAGGTAGACAACCTTTTAAAATATAGTTGAAGGTGCCTCATTAGTGCAGCAGGCAGTGTGACAATCTCATAAAATACAGTTGAGTCTTGGTGAATAGATTCTTAAGGCCCTAGCCAGCTAAGGTAGCAAAATCAAGAGTTCAAGGCCAGTTTGGGCTACACAGTGAGATCCTGTCTCAAGGAAAGAAGGGAGGAGGGAGGGAGGGAAGGAGGAAGGGAGGGACGGAGGAGGGAGGAAAGTGGAGGTGAGAGATGAGAGGGTGGTGGAGGGGAAGAAAGGAGGGTAGGTGAGGGCATGGAACGAGAGAAAACAGTAAAAGCAGAATAAGCCTGAACAATCATATGAAGATCTGAGAACCTGAAATTAAATAGCAATTATTGGCCCTAACTCGCCATATCTGCAAAAAATAAGGATTAAAATGGCAAAGCACAGTGATAACTAGTGCAACGGTATAATTAAACAATTCAATATTGAAATTTATATATTATATACAACTATGTGCAGCACAGTATTTGATAACTGGCTGTGGGCAGTCAAGGCCTTAAGAGAATGTGTGAAGATCATATGAAATACTGAATAAATGTATATTGTTGACATGAGCAACAACCAATGCCCCAACCTATGGGAATTGTCAAAGCCTCTCTCTGACCTGAGTGCAAATGTTAGCAGTGTGTACAAGTGTGTTTACTAATGACTGACCAATGTGTGCAAAGACCAGCAACTGTAGCTTCTTCCTCCTGGATGTTTAAAGCCCAAGACTGCTGCCCACAGAGACATCCTCTTAGGACTAAGCCCTCCTCCCAAGCACTCCACAATAAACAGTCTGAGATCCTGAGGTCAGGGCAGTCGGTGCCACTCATCAAAGTGCACACAGACCACCTGACCCAAGCTTTTCTTCATCTGTGTGTTTTTCTTTAGTGTCTTTCCGTTCTTCATTCTCTCCTCTCCCCTGTCACGTGTCTACAACCAAGCCAAGCTGGACATGGAGACTGGTGATATTTGTTTGTTGTTGTTGTTTCACTTAAAATAATACATTCTGAGCCAGGGTCTTATGTATGTCAGAGAGGAACCTCTCGTCTGGTGTAAAACACACTATGTGGCTTGAACTTCTGGTCCTCCTCCATGTCTCAAGTGTTGGAATTACAGACATGAGCCACCTGCCCATTTATGCTGAACTTTGAGTTCAGGGCTCTCGCATGGAAGTCTATCAGCTGAGCCACATAACAGCCGGAAAATAATGTATTTTTAATTAAGTAATGTAGAATTATACATTCATAGGGTACGGTATGACGGTTAATAGATGTACTGATATCTATATATCATACATACTAAAATCAAGATAAATTTGTATTTTCCTTACTTTTGATTTAAACTAACTTTCAATTAATACATAAAACAAAAGCTAAAAATCTCAATGGGCTAATGTTATACTTTGCTCTGTGTGTAAGCATTTTGACGGCTTGGATGGGATGGCCAGGGATGGATTATGGAGCTCAGGAGCCAAAGAATACTGAGTGTTACAGCTCAGATGGGAAGGTATTCTGGACTCGGGAGCCAAGGAATACCACAGGTCACAGTAAGCATAGCAGCTTATAGTCTTGCTTCAGGAAAAGGCTTCCCCAATGTATCAGCTCTGCTCCTGCAGGAGAGGGTTTCCCCAGCAAAGTTGTTACAGTTCAGCTCCAGCCCCCCAATGGAGTGTAACAACTTTGCTTTGCCAGGAAAGGTTACCCCAGCCCCTGCTCTGCTCTGCTCCACTCTGCTCTGCCCAGGGTCGTCTCTGCTCCAGTGAAAGTAAGTCTCACCCAAACCTCCTTCAAGAGATTTATTGTGAGGGAAGAATCCAGGAGAGTGGCTGCCCCCTGCCAAGGTGGGTTTACATAGGGATTCTTAGGGGGCGGAGTTTTCCAGGGTGAGGATTGGTCAGATTTCAATCCCTGAGCTTAGGATGGCTAGATCTCCTGCCCAGGGATTGATTAGCTTTCTGCACAGGTTTAGGGTCAGATTTGGCTCAGTTTCAGGGTGGAAATGCGTTTCTTTCACTGGTCCTTTTTAGCCTTTTGACTCTAGTTTTAGGTCCAAGGTGTATTTCTTCCACTGACTCTGATTCCAGGGTCAAAGTGTGTTTCTTTGGCACTGGTTTCAGGATCAGGGTACATTTCTTTGGTTCTGGTTGCAGGGCCAAAGTGTGTTTCTTTTGCTCTGCTCAGAGTGTGTTTCTTTGGCTGGCCCCTTTTCCCTACACTGTGTATATACTATATAATGTCTAAATTAGGCCAAACATTTTATTTATGGTAGGAGCATTTAGAATTTTTTCTTCTAGTCTCTTGAGTTCACAATATGTAAACAGCAGCCTGGTTTGTTTTACCCATCATTCTCTCCTCTAAACTCCTCAGTCTCTGGTCCTCACTAATCTTCCTAGTTTACATGAGGTCAGCATTCATACATGCCATGGACAAATGACTCCTGAGGCATTTGTTCTTCTCTGCCTCGCTTATTTCATTAAATGATCTGTTTCTACCCATGTTGTCATAGGATAGACAGAACTCTGTTGTTTGTAAAGTACATTCAGCTGTGTTTCCTGGTTGTTTGTTCTTTATGCATCCATCATTTGGTGGACACCTGGCTGTCTCCGTTTCTTGCCCACTTGAACTCTGCTGCAAGAAGCTTGAGAGTTCAGGTATCCCTTGCGAACACTGATTCCATTTCCTCTGTATGTCTGCCTAGGAGTAAAACTGCTGGATCAGATCAAATAGTAGTTCTATTTTTAATTTTTCAAGGAGCTTCCTTAGTGTTTGCCACAATCACTGTGCTAATTTACATAATCCAGCAAGGCTGCCTTCCTTTACTTCCTGGTCAGTGCCTGTTTTCTTCCCCTTCCCAGCAGGGAGAGGATAGTCATGTATTTGCTTATTTATTTAGGCTGATGTACAAAACTGCCTTTAATCTTTTTATCATGGTCATTCTTCCTGGGGCAAGATGATATTCTTGGGGTTGAGTTTGAATTTTCTTGCAGCTTTGCACTGTTCATTATTTGATGTCCTTCTGAGAGGTCAACTTTGCTTGGGTTGTTTGAGGTTTTGAAGAAACCTTTCAGTTTGTTGGAACCTATGTGTCAGATTTGATTTGTTTTCTGTGCTTTGAGGTCCTACCCAAAACATACAAATGTTCTCAACCATTTCTCATGGGTTTTTTTCCCTATTTGTTCCACACTTACAGCCTTTATTCATTCTGGATTGGTTTTTGTAACTTCTGAGAGAGGGGGTTCTTCCTAGTCTTATTCTTTGTGTGAATATATTCAACTTTCCTAGCACCATTTCATTTCCATGTTAAAGATTGTGCTTTCTAAACTATGTCTTTATGATATGAGTCTTATCACTTTTGCCAAATCCAGATGCATATAGATGAACGGGTTTCTTTCTAGACTCAAACCCATCCATCGCCAAGCTCATGCTACTTTGATTACTACAGTTTTGCATTATATTTTGAAGTCATATAGTATAATGTGCATTTTATAGATGTCAGAAAACTGAGACTCAGAGACAATAAGAAGTGCACTTATTATCTTACAGAGAGAAATCAACAGTCAGGCATTAATCTGATGTCAACTAATTCTTAACAAAACACAATAGTGCATACAAAGAAAAAACTCAAGCCCCAGTTGCTTCATTGACTGTCCAATCCAATATTAAACAAGTGAATCATCTGCTACACACAAATGACCAATCATTAGACCAGTGTGGCTCTGATGCAACAGGACTGAGAGCAGCGCCTCCCACAAGTCCAGGTAAAAACTGATAACCCACTAACAGACCCATCCAGTAACACAGAGGCCAAAGCCTACGAGGTGAAAAATAGGGTCTCCAGAACATGAGATCAGCAGCTGCTTCAGCCCTCAGAAACCACCTGGTCTCCAGGCCACAGGAAAGGGGACTAGAGCTGGGGAGAGGGCCAGTCAGATACAGTGCCTGCTGAACCAACATGAGCACCTAGCACATGAGGAGCAGCATCAGATGTGTCCGCCAAGCTCACTGGCTACCCAGTGCAGCCAGCTATTTAGCACCAGTTACTCTGAAGAGTGAAGAGTGACTGAAGAAGACAGGTTGTTCTCTGGCCTACACAAACATTCACACACGTGTACACACACACACACACACAAGTACACGCATGCACACACACATGTTCATACACACATGTACACACATGTACATGCATACAAACAAACATGTACACACACACTTATACATACACAAGTACACCCATGCACACACACAAATGTTCATACACACATGTACACACATGTACATACATACAAACAAACATGTACACACACACACACACACACACACACAGGAAAATTACACAGTCATCACAGTACATGCACATAGAGACCCTGGCAGTGTTCACTCCTTTCAGCAGAGTAGAAAATAAGTTGGAATTTCCTTGATCTGGTAAAAGGGATGTGTGAAGACCTATGG